CATCTTTGCAATTGTAACAAGAAGAGAATCAAACTGCTCTATCCTGTAAAGGGGGAGGCACGTCTGCCAACAACTCGTAGCAGCTTATTGCAAAGGAAAATATAATAGTGGGCGGTTGGGAGATGTCTAAACCAAATCCCCCGTGACACAAATTATGAAATTAGGGGACTTTAATGAAAATTACCTTTGCAATAAAAGAAACCTACAATACAGGTTTGTATTGATTTTGCAATAAGCATATAGAACTGCAGCAGGGCCTTTCTGATATAAGACCACTCTCAACTGCAACTTTTTCTGGTTATTTGTTACCTACATACATCATTTCACAAGCAACACGACGCTTCACTTTGTAAAAGAACCGTGAAACACCGTGCATGCAATAAGTTCAAGACATGCCCCCTGCTTTCGATAAAAAGTACATTTCAATCAATACGATACCCAGAAAAGTTTTATGTCCATTACGATTAATTTGGGAAATAAATAGTAATCATATATGAAAGTTCAATTACACAGTACATGAGAGTCCTTATTTCACTTCTCATCTTTTAGCCTTTTTCAACTTCTGTCTTGGCTTTGTGCTCTTCAAGAAACAAGCCTGAAAACTAACCATAGCTCTTAAAACATCAATTATTCTGGACTCGATCTCAGTTCCATTAGGCTCAAGAACATGTAATGACCTCGCAACAGCTTCCATTGTACTCATACATCCACCAAATGGTTCTTTCCTGAGAATCAAGTCTGAATCAAAAATGGTCCCACCATCAACCGCAGCATCAAAATCTAAACAAACTTGAAGAGAAAACTTGGATAAAAACGGCAAACTCGCGAGCACCATCTCCTTCGCATGCTTCCAAGTTCCATCAAAAGCAACCAACACATAATCATTCATGTTGTCAACATCAAGAGTGGACTTCCTCTTATTGATTTCGGTTAATGGTAATGCATCTAAACCTGAAAAACCACCCAGATCGGTCATAAAATGTTTTTACAAATGCCACGAGTGTTTGCAAACTTAATATATGGTGTATTAAGTTAGCCCGTTGAACATTTTTATTTTCCACTAAAAGCATGCCACCTCATAAGTAGTAGGATGTTTTGGGGAGTTTACCAAAAGATATATTAGCAGGGAGGGCCTTCAGTATTCAAAGAAATCCTATCTTTATATTCTGCCATGGCTATTAACATTTTCGTGGCACCCTTAAGATCAGTTCTTCACATCCCTTTCCGTAAAAATATGTAATCGACATGCAATAAGTCCATGCATTCACATCCTTTCCCTTAAAACATCCAAGTTCAAGGAGAATCAACACTATCGATACTGGAATTAAAAAGGTTCTTTATCTACACAACAGAGTAATGAGAATTAGCAATAGGTTAACTGTACAAGGTTGCATTACACTACTACAATCACCATGGTATTCATAGATGCTTTACTTCAGGATTTATCACAAAACTTATCATGAAGCTTGGCATCTATATTTCATGTCTTAGTATTCAATCAATAGGAGTCCTCAACTTTGTGGAAGCCCATGGAAGTTTTTTGAAGATTCGTTTGCATATGCCCAAGTGTTCTCCTAATTGTGGTTAAAAAAAGTTGAGCCAAGTTGAAAAAATCTTTCAAAGTTGGCCTTGTTCTTGAAGGAGATAATTATTGAGCTTGAACTTGTTTTGGTTCCTTCACAAACCAATCTTAAACATGTAGTCTCGCCAAATATGAGTCGGAGCTTAAATAAATTTCTAGACAAATTTTTATCTATCATCTTCTCAACACAGAACTCCATAAATTGACACTCTAAATGGTCAGCAAATAAATTTCAAAACAATCAATCATGAGTCAACCTGTGATGGCTTTGATCAATTTTCGGCCCTATTTGTGGTTGTGTTACCAGGCTGGACTTCAGGTGTTAATCATGGCCCAAACTGCAAGATGATGACAGTATAATCTATGGGATTCATCAAGAATAGCCATTTTGTGACCAAGTCAATTGCCAATAGAAATGCGTAAATGTTTCTAATTATGGGATGATATGGGTTTTAGAAGAATTTAGAATGTGTGTGCACACGCATAAAAACAACATCCAACTCGCAATAATTTTTTTCCTTTAGTATAAGCAATATCAAGATGCAGTGCCCATATAACAATTTTGCTATTACTTAAATCCTGGATTAACATTCCACGAGACCTTGTAGGTCATGAGACTAGTGTAAAGTTATGATATAGATATTGAGAGGGTCGTACTTCAAAAGCTTGCTGTTGAAATTGGAGAGTCCAAATTACATGCCGAAAGCGCGTACTTTCGATGTGGGATTCAAATCTCATATCTTGCAATGGGAACCATAACAATCCACCACACTCCACGATCCCCCGCCCACGTCGGACTAGCTTTGCACTAGTCCATGATTAGTCCCGGACAAATATTGCTATGCCGACATCACCATTCATGCCGATCGATTGCAATCGAGAGACATGGTATCTACTCTGATACCATTGATATAGATCTTGGGAAAGTCATACGTCAAAAGCTAGCTCTTGAAGTTGGAGAGTTCAAGTCTATATAAACCACAAACCGAAAGTTCATACTTTCGATGTGGAATTCAAATCCCATACATTGCAATGGGAACCATAACAAATTAGTTTCTCAACCTAAATTTTGTCCCTTACGTGTCACTTATAAGACATCAAGTATAAAAAATCTCAAATGAGTAACGCTATTCATCTCCCGTGGTGATTATCACCGATTTGGGTGGTAGTGGACCCTTGATTCATTATCTTATGGAGTTGTGATGTATTTTAATGAATCAAGTGATCTACTGCCACCTAAACGAGTGATGATCGATAACAAAACGAGTGATGATGGATAGCATTGTTCATCTCAAATGCAATGTCTATATAATTATTTTTTTGGTTACTTTTACTCCTGTCCTGGATCAGAATGCCAGTCAAAAAAAAAAGGGGTAGATGCTCAACAACTTTTCAAGTCAGTACAATGTGACAGGATAGGATCTTAATTCATAAAAAGGTCCATAAGAACCAAATAGTCCACCAATTCTAATTCTTCCTATCATGGTGTTCTTGCAATCTATTCTTAATCCATTGGAAATTGAACATATGAACAAGAAAAAAGTTAAATTTTTCTGATCCCTGAATACAAGTTCTAGATTAGTGTTCTATATTTGTCTCTAAATCTCCATTTTCCATGATAGTATAAACCTATACCAACCAAAAATTCACCAAAAACTTGCGGAAAATTAATGCTCCCACCATATTATTTTAGTAGGCCGTGTAATTACTTCAGAAAAGCTCATTGAATTGCACCCAAAATACTCAAAACTGAAATTTTAACCACGTGTACTAAGGTGAGAACGCTTGATTGTCCTCCATAGCGAGGCAAAAGTAATCGTACCAGGGAACAGATAGAGAGTTCGCCAGCGGGGCAAATTGGGGTTTCCGCAGGCCTGATCGTATAGAGAATCGAGAAGCTTCGAGTCCCCGTATTTCAATTGGCGTCCGACGATGATTTCGCAGTTTCTGAGGCATTTGGAGAGGAGAGGGACAGTGGCGAGCTTGTGGCGGCGCTCGTGGGGATGATGCAGGATCACTATTTCTGTGGAGGTTGGAAGGGGATAGGGTGGAAGGGTGTGGCATAGGCACACGTTCACAGGCCTATCACATCCATTGGCGCATATTCTCCGCCGCGCTTGGTGGTGGTCGTCGAAGGAGGATGTAGTACTGGCGGCGGGGGAGGAGGATTCTTCTTGTGCGTTCATTGTACTGAATGAGTGAGTCAGAGCGGAGTGACTATGAAGGCCCTTTTGGGCCGAGTTTTGGACTTTTTGTTCGTTCTCGGGTTTTATTTATTTTATTGAGTTCATCAAACGTTAGTTCAAGACAAAAAGATCCCACGTACGTAAAAGATTAGTTACATCCAGGTGGAAAATTTGGAGAAATACCAAAGAAAATTACATTTCAGAAATCACACCCTTTTGTCCAGCTTCTTGCTACCATTTTAAAGAGCACCAAAATATGTATGTCGATAATTCTTTCACAATCCTTTTATCCTGCATCTCGCTGCTATTCAACGCCTTTTTCCTGCGAAATTAAGCAATGCGGCCTAATAATGTTTCTGCTTGCTCATGCTGAAAAGGACGAATGCAAATGAAAAGCACAGACTCAGGTTCCATCCTCACTGTCTGACAACAAACAGTCTTGTATTTGCACCCTGCAGAGGGGAAAACAAAGGAACTCGTGTAAGGAAAAGTTTACTTATAAGTAAATAAGTTAATGCATAAATAAAAGTTTTTACCAACTAAAAAATGGAAATAGTAGGTTTACTTATTCTAAGAGCTACTTTCAAAGTAACTTATCATGGTACCCAGTATTAAGCTAATAAGCTATGGCATCAATATATAGAAACAAGGGCAGATAAAGACTATAACCTCAGTGACTTGTGCTTGCCAAAGCTGCTATTCTTTGCTAGATAAATCATTTGCTGTGGTAAGAGTGAATGAAAAGATTCCAAAGATGAGGGCTCCCGTGGAAGAATCTGATATTGACAACTTGAGCAAGTCTCTGCAAAGATCCCGACACTTGCTTCGTCATTCCCAATGCTATTCAAACTTGGAGTGTCAGAATTCTTAAGCGGGCTATGGCATATAGAGCAAAATGATTCTGGAGGAAGAGATTCATTAGGCTTCAAATTGTATTTCTTTAGCCGCCTCTGAGAAGCCGAATGACCATTACAGTCATCAACTTCTAAAATCCTATTGAAAGAGAAAGGTTTAAGCTTCCCCGCTGTTCTTACAATTGTGCTCTCTCGTGAAGGATTTTCCTCCTGAAAACACATCAAATTTTAGATTCTGATCTGAAATTTATCTACGATAAATTAACCACAATTGCAATTCCCACCTGCAACAATTTTACAAACGAGGATATTAAGCCATTGATGCCGCATCGAGGTTGCTGAAATGTTTCTACCATCTTCAAACTGCCCTGACAAAAGGAAAGTCCCTTCATGAAGTAATAATTATTGGTGTAGTAAAAAAAGATGACACAAAATCTGACTAAATAGCCCCTCCAAACCTGTCGAGACTGCATAGCATCTTCAGCTCTTGAGAGATACAATCACGCAAGGGAAGAACCACCGGTATCTCCCACCTAGCATCAACATACTGAATATCCGCAGCCAATGAGTAACCCTCTCCCTGACAAAAGAAAGTTTCTACTGTTATACTCTGATAGCTTTAGATGATATACGTAAAGAAGCTTTCTGGGATTAGTTACTGCATTTTAACCAAGTTTGTCTCTTCTCACTATATCCATTGAACCAAAAGGGAATGTAAGAATTCAAATTGACGGTGATTATCCAGTCTAGCTAACAGGAATTATCACTTTGACAAAAAAATTCCTTCTCTCTCATTTTTTCTCATTTATCCATTTATGTACATCATTGTGTATCCCATTTATTCAGTCATTGTTTGCAGAGTGAGGGGAAGGAGGAAAAAACCTTGACAGTGGCTTCAAGGACACGACAAGCTATACGTGACGTGCATGTTCCTAGCACGAGCTTGGTGTATCCATTATCAACAGCAATCTGCAAAATGGATACAGCATAATGCAAAAGTGAATGTCTTCCCTAATCTAATATTAGCATAATTAAGAAAGCAATTGCAAAACAAAACCTTCTGCAAAGACAACATGCGCAGATGCTCCAGAAGATCTTCTTTTCCAGTGATGTCAGGAACAGCATTTATTAATTCCACCAGTCTGTGCCTTCCGGCGCCAGTATCAGAAGAATAAATACTTCCAGTTGGAACAACATAAAATTGTTTTACTGGTGGAGCTAAATCTGACACAATGAGTTTCATCTCATCTATCGCTCTATCAAAATCATGAGAAGGGACTGTAAAATTGGCACTTTCATCAATATAAGCAACGCCAACTCCAAATACTGGCAAAGATTTATCTCTACTTGCATCAAAGTTCTTCTGTGCTTTGTGTTGCATCTCATGCACAAATTGAAGAGCCACCCTGAAGATAGACGAACATGCTCAGAAGAACATGAACACTATAACACACAAGATGTGGCATGGGGAAGTATAGCATTATACATTTTCATGACAAGGGAAACATATAAAAAAACATTGATTCAACATACAGCTTGGCATTGGATTGGATAGTGAAACTATCTTTTGGCACATTATTGACTTATAAAATAAAGAAATTAAATTTTATTGACATTTAGTGCGCATTTGCAAAAATTAAACTTTCAAAGTTTGTTTGGCTAAGCTTAAAAAAGATAAACTTACTTTTTTCTGTTTACTGTCTAAAAAATAAGATTTTCTAATGGAAATCCGAAAAATTAGGTTAACATGTAAAAAAACTTCAAACTTGTTAAGAAAAAAGGGTCATCTAAAAGTAACTTTTAAGCTTAGCAAGACATGCTCTTTAGAATAACAACAATACATTACTTAAACAAATTCACCAGAAACTTTTGACGGAAAAGATCTAATCTTTACCTCGACAATCTATTAAACTATGAACTCCTTCACATTTAATAACACCAATTCATTACTTAGGAAAAAATCCACAGGAAATTTATTGTGAGCACAAAGCTCCATGTTTTATTAAATTTAAGTAATGCTATCCCTCACAACACTGGCATTGTAGCCGAGTCAAGCCGAGATACATTTTCAATCTTAGCATGCTATGCGGACAAGCTTTGAAACTGATACCAAGTTTGGCCTAATTTCTTACTAAGATAATCCAAAAGAGCTTTGGCCTAGCCAGAAAATAAGTAGATATTATTTTCATTTATAATCTGAAAGAGTAAGCTTGATAAATCGATATCTTAAAATGTTTCAAGTTCAATTTTGTTATTCTACCGGTTTAAAAGAACTTTCAAGCAAACAGAGAGTAGTTTGTTCAATTTCTTTGGCCTTGCTTCTTATTTTGGTATAGTTACTCTTGATGCTATCGAAATAAGCTTTTAAGCTAAGCCAAACATGTTCTAATAGCTTCATACATAACCGCTAACACATACCAGAAATTGTACACACACACAACCGCGCAAACATTTACTTATACTAAAGAGAAAGATTAACCTAGATGAGGAACCACCGGAAAAGGCGATGAGAACATTGTCGGAGGGTGAAATCATGGCATTAGAAGTTACGGCGAACCGGAACTTCCCGAATAAGTTACCCCTGAAACAATCAGCGCAGAATCTACTGCCATCCCCGCCGCCACCAGTAACAGTGGGATGGGTAGCTTCTATTGTTTCGTTTACTTTGCATTTGATGCAGACGCGACTGTTAGCATAGAGGTCCAAGTCGCATCCTCCGTTCTCAGTCGCCGATTGTCGTTCTTGGCCTACGCCAGAATCGGAATCTTTATAGCAACCGGACTGGCAGGTTGCAGAATTGCACGCCATTTTTGCTAGTTTTGGAGTCCCACACACCTTTGAAGGGTATGTAAACTGTATATTGGGCCTGGATGGGCCAGTTGGAAAAAAATTGACGTCAGTAAGCACTGGAATTAATCAATGGGCCTGATTATTAAATCTATGGGCAATCCAAAGGTTGATAATTAGCCCACAAAAAGACCAAGTTAATTAGACAAACACGCCGACGATCCTAAGCTGCCGCTTCTCCTTCTCCGCCAGCACCTCCTCCGTCCGTCTGTACCGCCGCCACCTCCTCCGTCGACCGTCATTCGAGGTTAGTTGCAACTGTCCCTTCATTGTAGTTGTTATTCTTTTTTCTTCAATTTGGTGTTTTCTGAAGGAATGCTATTACAAAAAAAGCTTTCTTTTTTACCAAAGAGTGTGCTGATTGGTGGACCGTGGACGTTGATGCTTTGCTTATAATTTCTAACTTTTTCGTGGAATTGAGTTATTATTATTTCTTCTGAGGGTTCCGCAAGTTGTAGTTTTTGCAATTTAAGTCGAAAGATTAATTTGGCTTTTGGTCAAAACTGAAAAACTGTGATTTCTGATGGTGAACATTACAGACCGGTTTTGAATTTTTGTTAAAGCAGGGTTTTAATTACAAACTAAACTTACAACTTAGACTTGGGAATTGAATTGGCAACTAGGGATTCACAGTTTTGACATTCATGTCTACGAGTTAATTAACATAAAGGAGAGTGTCTTTACACGAGTTTCTAGTAGTCGCAATTTTTCCATTCTTCTCTTCATTTGTTCCTGGTTGAAATAATTCATAAAATGCATTATATGGAGTTTAAAAAATGAAAATGTCAAGAAAGAAAATGCTAAAGAAAATTTATCTTATTTGTTTCGTGGGCATAGAAATCAAGGGGATATACATCTAAAGATTAGAAAAACAAGAAACTACAGTTGTTAATATTCCATCCGATCTCCATTTAAATCTTATAAAGGTTTTTTAATTTTGTTTAATTTTATGTGGGAGGAAAAATAACACGATTTCTCATTACTCTTGTAGAGAAGAGAGAAAGGATAGTTGATCCGTCTTTTGAGGTGAGACATGAAACTTGATGACTTTTTCTAAATGTTTTAGGTAGAGAACACATTTACTTAAGGATATTTGAAAGGTGATGGGAATTGGGGCAACAAGATGATAGAATTAATTTGAGAACCAGACCAACCAACAACCAGCTTGCAAATATTGCAGCCCAGACTGGTCCGACCCTGCTGTGTTTATATTTCTCCATTTTTATTTTTATTTTTTTGAAAAATTAATTTCTGCAAGTAAGCTGTAAATTGAAAAGATGAATATTCTCATCGACGTGTTTGTGAATTACATCGTTAACCCTTTTCATTTTTAGTTTTACATTTCAATTTTTTTAATAAATTGGACCAGCTGAGTGATCTTCATAGGTTGTTGAGCTAAGTCTGGCACGACCCAACCTGTGAACTGGTCCACACCGAGCCAGCCTAGATTCAGTTCAATTTTTTAACAGAGTGAGTCATCCAGGCCTGACCTCCCACACATTTTGGCACCACTATTCAAAATCTTGAAATACATACAGCTTTATTGTAACTATTCCTGTGTATTTCTTGCCTTCGGTTTTTTCACAAGAACTAAAAACTATGAAAACTCAGCCGCTCCACCTCTATGCTTTAAAAGGACACTTTAATATTCTTTTTTCCTCTGTTTCATTTGCTGTTGTGTTTTGGACTTTGGTTTTTAATGAATTGCACCATTAGGGTTCTTTCTTTTCGTACCTTTTTTGTTTAACGACACCAGGGTTTAGATTGTAACAGTCAGTTTCATTTCCGTGTAGATTTCATTTTTATCTAGTTTCCTTGTGTTATTAATTTTGTTTGGATGCCCTGTAAATGAGTGGGAATCCTTTTATACATTTTATTCTTATCATTATTTGAGCTTTGTTAGTCAAACAGAGAAAAGAAACAGACAGAATTATAGAAAAGAAGTGAATCATGTTTTGATAGGTCAATCTGCTTCTGGTTTATGAAAGTGGAAGCAAATTTGTATTACAGGATAGATTGAAAAGGAATGTCTACTCCCAATGGCTCAAATGACTTGTCTTCAGAGATGGAGGTGGATGCATTTAGACGCCTTTTCCCTCTACGCTTTCATGAGCGCCACCTGCTCGAGTCAATACGGCCTGATGGTCGGCCTCTTGGAAGAGCTAGAGATACAACAATTGCCCTTGGTTAGACAATCTACTATTCTTTTACTGAGAACTTGTTTTCTCTCATTACATTACATACCATACCATACCATACCTCATCAAATCAAATCTTTTCTAATTGTAGGAGCCGTTGCATCTGCTAATGGATCAGCATTAGCAAAGATAGGTTGCACTGTAAGTGTGTTTTTAGTTTATTCCTGCTCCTCTGTCATAAATAACCCATGTTATTTATAGAACTAGAAAGGATGAACTTATTGCAAAAAATGTATTCCATCCCCATGCAAAACTAATTTAAAAATTTATATCATGTTCAGACCATGCTGGCTGCTGTTAAATTGGAAGTCATGACACCAAAGGCGGAGTCGCCTGATGAGGGTTGCATAGGTTAAACATATTTAATTTGTATTATTTAATACACCTTTTTAATTTTGAGAGTGTATAATTATATTACTTCATGTGCCAGTTATTGATTTCCATATGCCTCCAATTTGTTCTCCACTGGTTCGCCCTGGCAGACCAGCAGAGGCAGCACCAGTAATAACGAAGCAATTAACTGACATCATCCTGAGGTAAGAGATGCATGACATTAGCCAAATACGTCCGTTTGAATATCTGTCACTTCAATAAAAAATCTAGATATATTTAATACTCTTAAATATAATAAGAAAAGGAAAAAAAGAAGATAATTTCCAAAATGACCAGCGATTTTTGTGCGCAAACCTAAGGTTTTTAGATTCTGAGAAGTTGCTAATATATTGGTAGTTCCTTTACGGTGATTCCGTAGGCCTAGATGAATCCATTCATGGTGAATGACTCACAGGACGTATGCTGCAAAGTTATATATTGAACTTTATTACTACATACTCTTTCTGTAGATACTTCTTTTCTTTTTTGCATGCTGATCACTCCTAATACTCTCAGTATTTTCTTAGAGAAGGATGTCATTGTGTGCGTATGAGACAATAGGAGATTTCTCCATCTGCTTGACCTTTTCGATGCAGTACTTGGCTTTTATTCTTACAGTTTCAGTTAAATGACTTCCAAGCACTGACCTGGCTGAGCTACCCTTTACAACATTTGCGACATCAAGATGAATAAAATGACTCCTACGAATTCATTCTACCCACCCTTTATTCTTAGTCGTGTTTTTGGTGACTTGTTATTGTAATTATGCAGTTCTGGGATGATCGATTTAAAAGAATTATCTTTGGTCAGTGGAAAAGCTGCTTGGATGGCCTACCTGGTAATGGATCAGCATTTTATTATATCATTAGGATACAAATTTATGGCCCTCTAATGCTTGAGGCCTAAATACTCGTTACTACTATATAACATGACTCTTACAGGACATATACTGTCTCGATGCTGATGGCGCCCTATTTGATGCGGCATTGCTTTCTGCTGTGGCTGCATTCTCACACTGTGAGTTGCTATGGCTTGTTTTTATTCTTCTGCATGTGTCTACGGTGATATGATGTCCTATTTTATCTTATTTTTGCCCTCCCCCTACCCCCACCCTAACACCCTTTTTTTCTTTTTACTGGAAGCTAGACGTGTAAATTCAAACAAAACTAGACTTCATTTTTAATCTACTGTTCATGTTTGATTTATGTGACTGAATGTATAGCAAAGCACCAAAATTTATTCTCTACTTTATGATTGATCAATCAGTCTTCGAACTTGTTATGATTGTATAACCAATGTCTGATCCAGAAAGTAATTATTTTCAGGTTTTAGTTTTCTTATTGATTGGATATGATTATCAATTGATTTAGATAGTAGTGAAGTTCTTAGTGCCACAATATTTTAATGTTCTTCATCCTGATTATTCGAATAGCTAATTTCCTAGCTCTAATATTTGCTCTAAGCAAGGTGCAAATGAGTATTTTGCTTTTGTAAGACATTTCTTATCTATTGACACCCTCAACTTATATATTTTCCGCTTTGTCTCTGACTAAGAGATCCTCAATCTTTTCCAGTGCAAATTCCGGTAGTTTCTCTCAATGATAATGGAAGAATAGTTCTTCTTTCTGAGGAAAATTCTGGTGCAATGTGGGAAAAGGAGCCAGTGAATAAAGAGAAGAGAAAGCTGAAGTTGGATACTCTACCATTCTCCTTGACATGCGTGCTTCACAAGAACTACATTCTGGCAGACCCTTCTGCCGAGGAAGAGTCTATTATGGAAACATATTTAACTGTGGTGTTGGATTCGTCTATGCAGCTCGTGTCTCTTAATAAACCGGGTGGACCAGGTCTGGCTCAAACATCAGCCATCCAGGTTAGTTTGCACCTTCGTTTTTTGTTTTCTTTTTTCTATGGGGAGAGGGATTAGGGGCTCTTGTGGTCAAACAAGGCTCTACTTCTTTAGACATATAGATGATGCTAACTAATGTTTACTTACACAATTTGCTATATGGCTGCAGGATTGTGTAGCATTAACAATACAGAGAGTGAAAGAGCTTCAGAAGATACTGAATGAAGCAATTTCTGATATGGAAGTGGACTAGTAGAAAGTTGCCGTTGAAATTATAACCATTTTCCCTCTGATTTTGCCCATAGGTTTCTTCTTATTCTGTATCTTCAAGTTTTAATTTCTCAAAGAAAAGAGAAATTTAAACTATTGGAAAAATGTCCATCGGTAAAGACATTCCATTGACAAGATTTGAGTACAACTGAGTAGATTAGAAGAGTAGCAAGTTTGCTTCTGGGGCATCTTGAAAGTCTTGATTGGTAGAGATTTGCTTGAGTTATATATCTTTTTGAATGTAAACATGGAACTTCGATCTAAATTTCTTTTTGGTTTACAGTGTGTGTAATGCTCTCCGTATATTAGCAAATAATATATGGAGATGGCTTGTAAGCTGTGCCTCTACTAATGATGCAAAAATCCACAATCAAGTGCATCAATTTTATATCGAGTAATTAATGATTACTTGAGATCGTGATTGTGTTCGACTTTGCTTCTTCTCTTCTCCCATGTTTTATTTCCACCGAGTACAAACCAATTGATTATGTGACTATTCTATTTCTGTTAAATTACTCAGTTCTAAATTTCTTTGCAATGATAATCTAAATTAGAGTTCGATTCATATTAATGTGGATTTTTGAATATGGAACTTTAGGATTCAATATGAAGCAAGCAGTTCAATTCATTTAAATTTTAAAATGAGTAATTTGATCATGTTCTACAATGCAAACAATGATTGAAATTTTGTTGTTGAGCCAGCAGGATCCTCTGGCATCAAACTAGGATACCTGGACTCATTGGTATACACAGAAAAAAAATAATAATAATAAATAAAATCAGTTCCTTTTCACTGAGGGTCACCAACTCAAAAACCAGAATGTCTTTTACCAACAAAAAGAGTTTCATTATGGTCAACAATTAAAAAAATCTTTATTTATCTATAGGTGTGTTTGAGTGTGTGGTTGAAAAGAAGGAAAAGTTATTGATGTGATGGAAAATATTATTTTATTGAAAAATGTGTGATTAAAAATAAGTAAAAAAATAAAAATGATAATTTTAACGTGGGGCATAATATCGTCATCCAGACACTTTCTCTTGTCAGTTGCCTATACCCAATTCTTTGTAATCCAAACCAACCAATCAGAATGCAAGAAACAACAACAAAAGAGATAGACAAAGCACCAGCTCATTTTCTCTCTCTAAAATCCTGCTCAAACAAAACTCAACCTCAAAATGCAGTCTACACATGTCAACACGTGTCCCTTTGTCTCACCACTAGCTGAATAACCATCTCCCTCGTTCATTTCACCCTCTCCTGGAAAAATATAAAACTCCAAAACTGGGCATCATTGCAGAAGAGAAAATAAGAAGCAGCACTTAAATTCGTTCTCCATTTTGCTTATTCTCTCTTTTTTCTCCATATCTTTGTGCATACATAAGTTATACTAGTACATGCTCTCTGGTTTTTTTTATCTGTGTAATCAAGAAAATAAGCCTTTATTTCTTGAAAGCACAGAGTTGAGAAATGGCTTATTTAGTTTCTTCACCATTCACACTACCAAATTCAAAAACATCCCACCTTTCATCAACTTCACAAAAGAACTACTTTCTTCATTCATTTCTTCCCAAGAAAATCAGCCAGAACAATTCAAGAACACCCCATAAATTTAAAGTTGCTGCAATTGGCAATGGATTATTCACCCAAACAACACCTGAAGTTCGACGAATTGTACCCGAAAATTCCCAAGGCCTCCCCACTGTTAAAGTTGTCTATGTAGTATTAGAAGCTCAGTACCAATCAGCCCTTACAGCTGCAGTTCAGACACTGAACAAGAATGGGCAATATGCTTCATTCGAGGTTGTTGGGTACTTAGTTGAGGAACTTAGAGATGAAAATAGTTACAAAACTTTCTGTAAGGATCTTGAGGATGCGAATATCTTTATCGGTTCATTGATTTTCGTTGAGGAATTGGCCTTAAAGGTTAAGGCTGCAGTGGAGAAACAAAGGGACAGGCTTGATGCAGTTTTGGTTTTCCCTTCAATGCCTGAAGTAATGAGACTCAACAAATTGGGATCATTTAGCATGTCGCAACTGGGGCAGTCGAAAAGTCCATTCTTCCAGCTATTCAAGAACAAGAAATCATCTGCCGGGTTTGCTGATAGTATGTTGAAGCTTGTAAGGACACTGCCGAAGGTTTTGAAGTACTTGCCAAGTGATAAGGCTCAGGATGCAAGAATGTATATACTTAGTCTGCAGTTCTGGCTTGGGGGTTCACCTGATAATTTAGTGAATTTCTTGAAAATGATTTCTGGTTCTTATGTTCCTACTCTAAAAGGGACGAAAATAGACTATTCGGATCCGGTTTTGTACTTGGATAGTGGAATTTGGCACCCTTTGGCTCCATGCATGTATGATGATGTGAAGGAGTATTTGAATTGGTATGTTACTAGGAGGGATGCAAATGAGAAGCTTAAGAGTAAGAATGCACCTATAATTGGATTGGTTCTGCAGAGGAGTCATATTGTTACCGGAGATGAAAGTCACTATGTGGCTGTGATCATGGAACTTGAAGCAAGAGGAGCCAAGGTGATACCGATTTTCGCAGGTGGGCTCGACTTCTCAGGGCCGGTTGAGCGGTTTTTTGTCGACCCAGTAACGAAGAAGCCAATGGTGGACTCAGTGGTGTCACTAACTGGTTTTGCTCTTGTTGGAGGTCCAGCAAGGCAGGATCATCCAAGGGCTGTTGAGGCCCTGATGAAGCTTGATGTGCCTTATATGGTGGCTCTGCCTTTAGTTTTTCAGACAACAGAGGAGTGGTTGAACAGCACACTGGGGCTGCACCCAATTCAGGTCGCTTTGCAAGTTGCTTTGCCGGAGCTCGACGGAGGAATGGAGCCGATTGTTTTCTCCGGCCGGGATCCCAGAACAGGCAAGTATATTTTTCATCCTACTATATATGTTCAATACTGCTAGTTGTCCATTTATCAACTCTGCTATCAGTTGCTGGCCTTTAAACTGTTCATTTGAAAAGAATGAAACGGTTATGGTACTAAGAATTAGGGTGTTAGAAAAGACGAAATTGATATAAGCGCTTGGGGTACTCCTCGGTTAACCTTTTAAGATGGAAGCCAAGTCTTGGTATATGGTACTTACTGAAAATCAAGATTCTTGATTACTAGAGGAACAATATCACTTATTTTATTAAATTAAATACCAAAATGGATTATTGACTCGTTTTCATACTAGAGACAGTCATAGGAAATCCTTTGATAATACGGATTGTTATTAAGCAATGATATTTCAGAATCAAGACAAATGGCTGAAACACATAAACCATTTCATTGAAGTTCACTGACATCTTCCTTTTATAATGTAAATTCTCGGTGATTCTAGAGTAATCCATGTAAAATTGTTGCTCACACGGCATATTTCATTATTGCCATCCCAATGCATGTTTCTGACTTTCTGCTACAATATAGACTTTTTATTTGGTTTTGGCTAAATTGAATTATATTGTGTTCACGGGCTCTATTACAGGAAAATCACATGCTCTTCACAAAAGGGTGGAACAGCTTTGCACCAGGGCAATCAAATGGGCTGCACTGAAGAGGAAAACAAAGGTATGTAGTATACTTCTTTATGCAATACATAATTTATGTTCTATTTTATGAAAGACGAATTGGAAACTAGAAAAGTACGTAAAGAAAAATCGAAGAAGAATAAATAAAGCAATGGTCAAATAAACCAATGATCTGAAGGGATAGAGATCTTAATTCAAATTTTTTTTCCCTACAATTCAAAGGCGTTGGAAATACGCATCAGATTTTTAAAACCGACCAAGGTATGAATCAGGAAAGGTAAAAAGGTATAGCGTCAAAGAGTTGAACCAAGGTCGAAACGGATATTGTTAAAAAGTTACAAACATAAGTTGGTTTTCATCAATAGAAAACAAAAATTATATATTAACTTTATATGGTGCAAAAATATATGTGTCCGTTCTCAGATTTTTCCGGTCGAACCAGTTTGGCTGGACTGTTTTTGTAACTTTGATAAACACATAATTTGAGGAAAAATGAATTCTAAAACTATAATCTTCATTGATACTAAAGTTAACCATAACAGGCATTATCATTTTCTTTTGTTCTACATGAAAAACTGGATTTCAAGATTCTACTACTTTGATTTCACAACATTTGAACTATTATTTTGAAGGAGACATTCAAACTTTTGGCTAACAATGATTTCACAATTTATATGCAGACAGAGAAGAAGCTGGCAATCACTGTATTCAGTTTTCCACCAGACAAAGGCAATGTTGGAACTGCAGCTTACCTAAATGTTTTTGCTTCGATTTACTCCGTCCTCAAAGATCTGAAGAACGATGGTTACGATGTAGAGGGCCTTCCAGAGACACCTGAAGCATTAATTGAAGATGTAATTCATGATAAAGAGGCTCAATTCAATAGCCCAAATCTTAACGTAGCATACAAAATGAGTGTGAGAGAGTACCAGAGGCTGACTCCCTATGCAACCGCTCTGGAAGAAAACTGGGGGAAGCCCCCTGGTAATTTGAACTCAGATGGAGAAAACCTTCTGGTTTATGGAAAGAAGTATGGAAATGTCTTCATTGGGGTTCAGCCTACATTCGGTTATGAGGGTGATCCAATGCGGCTTCTATTCTCCAAGTCAGCAAGCCCACACCATGGGTTTGCAGCTTATTATTCCTATGTGGAGAAAATTTTTGGAGCTGATGCTGTCCTTCACTTTGGAACTCATGGTTCCCTTGAATTCATGCCCGGGAAGCAGGTGGGAATGAGTGATGCTTGTTTCCCAGATAGTCTTATTGGAAACATCCCGAATGTCTACTATTACGCGGCAAACAACCCGTCTGAAGCCACCATTGCCAAACGTCGGAGTTATGCTAATACTATTAGTTACTTGACTCCTCCAGCAGAAAATGCTGGACTCTACAAGGGACTCAAGCAGTTGAGTGAGTTGATCTCGTCCTACCAATCACTAAAAGACTCGGGCCGTGGCCC